CTAAAAACCATCAAAACACAACACACACACCACTCAACCTTCAACACGAGCCCTTTTCCGGTCGCTCTCCACTCCATTCCCATCGTTCTCCGAGCCACCGCCATTGGCTCGATTCTCGCTCGCCTCACAACCTTTCCCGCCATTTCCTTCCAGCCCGTTCTCATCCAAACGGGCCCCCGATGAAGAAGACGAACAAGAAGAAGACTCCTTCAAGCTTGCAGCAATCGCCTCCTTCAAGCACTCGTCATCATCATCCTCGTCATCATCACTCACCAAAATCGGGGCCCGTCTCTTCCTTCGGGGCTTATCCCATCTCGTTCGGGCCCGACGGACGAGTATCCCTTTGGCCTCCTCGGGAGAGAGCCACCGACCCCTAATGGGCCCGTTTGGGCCCACTTCGGGCCGCTCGAGTGGAAAATTCCCCCTCACGAGAAATATGCTCCAACCAGAGCCCTTTAACGAGTCGAGATAGGCAGCTAAGTAGAATCTCGATAAGTGCTCGGGAGCTGGGTACAAGCTGTTGAAATTGTACCACTCGCCCTCGACTTTCTTGATGCAAAACCAGTGGTTTAGTAGATTGCAGATGTAGGCGTTTTCGGCTCCGGGCTCGATTTTTGCGGGCTGGGCCACCGGGCTGTCTAGGGGGATGACTTGCAGGTCCATTACCTCAAGGGCTTTTTCAAGAACCTGTGGCCCAATAAAAAAGAAAAAAGAAAAAAAAAAACAAGTTTGGATTTTTGGTTGATGTGTGGAAATTAAGAGTGTAAAGGAGCTGAGCCGAGCTTACGAGCGACTCGTTTTGTTTAACAGTGGAAATTGAAGTTCTTGCACTATCAAAATTGGTCAGTAAATTATTAAAAGGTAAAAGGGAACCGGTGCTATCATAAACAAATGCCCAATATCTCAAAGAGAATTTTCAATGACCTGAGTTTTGTAGATGTCATTTACCAACACATGCAATAAATTAGATTTTCCTGTGTAAGCTTAAACCAAAAACCAGCAAAAAACTCCATTAAGTAATCAGTACATGTGAGCTAAACAAAATGATGTTCCACCATAATAGTTCTTCATCATTTTACTGTTGTGAATTTATCAAATAGTAGTGTCAAAAAGCCAGCAAGAACCCCATTAACTTATCAGTACATGTGAGGTAAACAAATTTTTGTTCCAGCATAATAGTTCTTTATCATTTTGTGTGATTTTATCAAATAGTAGTGTCAAAAGTTAAACTGTTAGACCGTCTAACACTAATTTTATGTCGTCTTCTTCGATTATGAAGACCGAACCACAATTCATAAGCACACTTCTCACAGGATTCACTGAAATCCATCTACAAAAAGCTGTAATTTTTTTCAAAGAAAAAAAAAATGGAGAGAACTTAAAGAAACCCTACAGTCAAACAAGTCAAAATACCCAATAACAAGCAAAATCCAAATTTAAAAAAAAAAAAAAATGCATACACATAATTCAATAAAAAATAATAATTTACCGTAAAAAAGGGCGTAAAAAATCGACCTGTATGCTGAAATCCCCATCTGGGGAAACGTTATGGGAGAACTCCGGCTCGAAATCGCCGGAGGCGGCGAGCATCACTTGCCGCTCGGCACGGTCGAGCTCCGCCGCCATCGCCGCCAGGTCGAATTCGGAGAAGAAGGGGCCCTGCAAAACGGCGTTCACGCAATGCAGGGCGCACAGTTTGGACTCCTGCACCTCGTGGTACAGTATAATTCCCATATTTGCTCCGACTGTTTTTCTCTCTATTTGGGAATAAAGAGAGAGGGCGATTATATAGATAATTATAGAACGCAAAGGAGAATTATATGCAGATGAATCCTTACCATCGGTTGATTGGGTTTCGGCATTGGGGCTTTCCCTATTATAAATATGATTATAAGTGGTTTAATCATCTTACACCAACCTAAATTCATCATCTTCCTTGATAAATGAGAATGACAAGATTAAAAATAAAATAAAATTGAATTGTGTTTTTAATTTTTATTAATACATCAATGAAAAAATTAGTAGTGATAATCGACCTAAACTAATTCTTGATAATCGACATAAACTAATTCTTTCGGTCGTGTAGAGAATGCCAAGATTTTAAAAGTTGTGGCCAGAAAGCTGGAGTGTCAATGATTCTTAATTTTTATAAGTCAAATAGTGTGAAGAAATTTTTAAAAGTTGTGACCGGAAATTTGGAGTTGTGACCGTACTGAGACGCTAATTTTTTAACATAAATTTTTATAAATTAAAAAAAATTATATGATACTATAAATATTTTTTAACGTTAAAAAAAAATAATAACTATTAAGAAAAAAATTAGGACAACTATAAATTAACCAAAAAAAATGATACCTGTTAAAAAAACATGATAACTAACTTTTGATAGTTAATTTATTTTTCTAAAAAAAAAAATTGTTTTTAAAAAATTTGACATAATTTTTGAAACACATACTTAATTTAATTAAAATTTAATAAGTAAATTATATTACATATAATTTAATGATATTGGATACTTATTTTAGTTAATATGTAATAGGTAAATTATATCACATGTAATTTTGAGATATTCGATAAATATTATGTATGTCATTTCATAAACTACATAACGCTTCATTTTGGGGACATGTAATTTCAAGAGTTCGATGAGAATTTAACTAAAAAAAGTACATAATTTGTAATATTTGATTCCTAACGTTTGATTTTGGATAAGTAAAGATTGGATAATTCGTTATGCATTTTACTTAAGAAATCACTTAATTTGAAACACTAGTACGTATCTCGTGCGATGCATGACAGAAATATTAAATGAGTTATTTTCAGAGACTCTGTCCGTTTAAGTCTAAAAAACAATAGTTTCTACCTCTTTTAATCAAAGTTAAGTCTAAAAAACAATATGATTATAATCTATTTTCATTCACCTCTTTTAATCTGTGTTGTTTTTTTAGTCATAACATTAAATACGAGCATCTTATGTCTAGCTTGTAAAATAATTAATATATTATCTCAAACACATTTATACTAATATAAATTTGATTTTAATATATGTATTTATTTCTTGATATAAGAGAAAATAATAGTTTTACTTATTCTTTTTTCACCATATAATACTTAATTATTATTTTATTATAAATTTTGTTGTCATATAATGTCATTATTATTTATGAAAGTTATAGAAGTTGTACGTTTTCTTTTCCTTTTATTTTATGTAATAAAAATATTTAATCCACGTTAGTGTTATTTATTTATGTAATCAATTTAATATACAAATAAATTTGAAATTAAATAAAGTATAAATATTTTACAAAATATACACACATGTTTTTTTAGAATTTAACTTTGTATACTAATTTAACAACTTTGATTTAGCAAATGCAAAAAACTTAATCCCTTCTATAATCAAGATTTTTCTAATTTGCATTATAAGGATTTATAATTTATTTAACATACTCTGCAATGAAAATATATTTTACAAGAATATCAATATAGAAAGAAATCAAAATAAAAAAAAAAATTCTAAAAAAATAATCGTGGTTGCCAATAATGTACAAATAAATTTTAAAGAACAATTAATATATTTCAATTTTGATTTTTTACCATTGGTATAACTATTTAATGTATCTGGTCATTATCTATTAAATGGTAAATTATATTGATATATAAAATAATTTATTTTTATATATAATGAAATAAAGCTTAATAAAAAATTATATTGGCAAATATTAATTCATCAACTTGATTTCACCAGATTAATTAGAAGGAAAAATTCTACCTAAGATTTTCTATAAATGTTTTGGATAAAAAGTGAATATTAGTGAAAAAAAAATAATATTATGGTTAGAACTTAAAAGTATGTTGTAATATTTATCTTGACCAAAATATTATCAACATGAATCACGAAAAATCAATCTTGTAATTTATTATAATGGATATTAATGAAATTATTGTAAATATTAATAAAATTATTTAATGAAACAATATTTTTTATCATATCTGATTTGATCTTATTTGAAAACATGTATATGGAAGCAATTAATGCATGTATTTAAAAAGTTTCCAAAAATAGGTATGCATTAAATGTTTTCTAAAAATTTTTTACTACTATTTTTAGTAAATGGTTATTCTTATTATATATATATATAGGGAGTGGTTCAAATAAAAACTAGTCCTGGTGTGAGAACCATGAGAACCGTATTTGATGCTATTTTTTATTGTGTATGATGCTATTTTTAATATTACATGGTGAACAAATCAATCATAGCACTATGTACAACTATAAATAGCGGTTCTCACGCTAGGACTTAGTTCTCATTTGAACCAAATCCTATATATATAAATACGATTTTGGGGACAAAAATTCTGACAAAGTTTAAGGAGAGTGTAATCGTGTGTGATTTTAAGATACTTTGAAATTTAAGACTTTTTAACATTTTGATATTTAATGAAAATCTTAAATTTGGATGCGTGTGATTTTTTATTTTTATTTTTTTCAGAACGATAGAGATTGTAAATAACACACAAAGTGCGAAAAGAAATCAGCGAAAAGCTGAAAGATACAACTAAAGGCTGAAAAAACTAGGAGGACAGATCTGAAAATTGCCTAGAGCCGGACCTACAAACGTTAGAAAAACACAAATACAACACCATAAAATAAAACTACTACTAACTCCCGAGCATGAGACTAAACGATCCCAACAAGATAATACCTGGTCTCACTCGGGCGAAAACAGAGGCCAATGCCCAAACAAAAAACACACATCCTACCAAACAAACCAAAACAAAACTAACAAAGAACTACACGCAACAAAACGAGCCCTTCCAAAACAACAAGACCGAGCAGAGCCAGTGGATTTCAAGTCGACCCTAAGTTAATCCCGCAGCCCAAGAGGACCAACCCCGAAACTACCCAAAAACCGCAACACGGTTGCCAAACGGAGCCGAAACCCAAGCACAAGAACTTCACCCAAAGCCTACTCGCCACTAC